AATGGGCTCTAAAAAGCCAGTTCATGTACCTGGGATAAGTCCTGGTCTCATTGCCAGGGGACCCACAAACACATCAAGCCACACTACTATCACTCACATTCAGAGGGCCTAATGCAGTCCCATGCAGGTTCCCCAGCTGTCAGTCCAGAGTCCATGAGCTCCCAATAGCTTGAATCAGTTATCTCAATGGTTTTTCCCATCATAATCCTGACACGCCCCCTCCCCCTACCCCATAATCCCTCCTCTGTCTCTTAAACTGAAGTCCAGGATCTTGGCCAAGTGCTTGGCTGTGGGTCTCTGCATCTGCTTCCATCAGTCACTGGATATAGGTTCTATGATGACAATTAGGGTAGTCACCAATCTGAGAACAGGGGAAGGCTAGTTCAATCACCCTGTCTCCCACTGCTATGAGTCTCAGCTGAGGACATTCTTGTGAGTTCCTGGGGATTTCTCTAGTTCCAGATTTCTCCCTAACCCCTTAAAGGTTCACTCTGTCAGGATATCTCTTGAAAGGAAGTATTTAATTGGGGTCTTACCTACAGTTTCATAGGTTTAGTCCATTAGCATCACAGTTGGAGCATGGCAGCGTGCATGTAGGTGCTGGGGCAGTGGCTGAGAGCTACATCCTGATCCACAGGCAAGAGAGAGAGAGAGACTCTGGATTTGGCATGGGCTTTTGAAACCTCAGAGCTCACCCCTAGTGACACACTTCTTCCAAGAAGGCCACACTTCTTCATCCCTCTAATCCTTTCAAAGAGTGCCACTCCCTGGTGATTGCCACTCAATCAAACGCATGAGCCTATGGGAGTCATTCTTGTTCAAACCACCACACAAATGATCCATTCAAAAAAACGGGCCTGGGACCTGAACAGAGAGGTTTCCAAATGAAAATTTGGCTAAGAAGTACTTTTAAGACATGCTCATCATTCCCAGCAATTAGGGAAATGCAAATCTAAACAAAATTAAGATTCCATCTTACTCCAGTCAAAACAGCAACGGCCAACAAAACAACAGAACTGGAGATGACCCAGGGAAAAGGGAATCCTCACTCACTGTTGGTTGGAATGTAGCTGGGGCAGCCACTACAGAAACTGGAGTGGAGAACTCACAACAGCTAAAAACAAACCTACCACATGACCCAGCTGCGCCACTCCTTGGTATGTGCCCGAAGGCCTTGACATCCTACTTCACAGGTACTTGTGCAGCCATGCTTACTGGCACTCTGTTCACAATAGCTGGGAAATGGAAATAATCGGTCAATGTATAATGAAAATGGGGTAAATATACACCCTGGAATACCATTCAACTGTAAAGAAAGATGACATCATGAAATCTGCAGATAAAGGGATGGAACTAGAAAAGATCATAATAAATGAGGTAACCTGCTGTGGGATGTCTTTCTGTACGCTGTGAATATGTGTTGCTCCCATTGGTTAATAAAGCCACAGTGGCCTATGGCAGGGCAGGATAGAGCCAGGTGGGAAATCCGAGAGCGATAGAGAGAGGAGAAAGGTGGAGTTAGAGCAGATGCTGCGAGCCGCCACCAGGAAAAGCAAGATGTAAGAGAACAGGTAATGTCATGAAACCACGTGGCAAAACATAGATTAACAGGAACGGGGTGAGTTAAGGTGTAAGAGCTAGCTAGCAAGAAGCCTGAGCCATAGGCCATACAGTTTGTAATTAATATAAGCCTCTGTGTGTTTACTTGGGACTGAGTTGCCGGACCGGGTGGGACACAGAGAAACTTCCATCTGCAGTAACCCAGACCCAGAAAGAAAAATGTCCATTGTTCTCTCTCATTGGGGCTCCTAGCTCCAAATCTTCAGATTGAGTCCATATCCTTTAGTAACTGCAAAACCCAGGAAAGTAAAAAGGGGCAGTTGCCAGGGTAGGTGTGTTGGGGATCAGTCTAGAAGGGAATAGCAGGGTATAATTGATCTGGTCCCAGAAGTGGGGAGAGGAGCTCAAATTAGGAAGGGAGATAAATACCTAAGAAAGAGCAAAGTAACAATAAGGATGTCTGCGAAAGTCACAAGGAATCACATCATCAACTATTTACTTAAAACAAACAAACAAAAAAACAAAAAAGCCAGGAGTTCTGGCACACACCTTTAATCCCAGCACTCGGGAGGCAGAGGCAGGCAAATCTCTGAGCTCAAGGCCAGCCTGGTCTACAGAGTTCCAGAACAGCCAGGGTTGCAGAGAAACTCTGTCTCAAAAAACCTAACCCAAACCAAACCAAACAAACAAAAACCGAGAACAACAACAACAAAGAAACCTATAATACATGTAAGCCTGTGTATAAAAACAGTTTAAATGGAATTTGCTCATCTGTGCCAACAATGTGCCAAAGACTACCTAACAAAATCCCCAACAACAGACATGAGAAGTCCTCTTGTGAGTTGGTCAGGTTCTCCAAGAGACTCCAAAAACATATAGCCTACTGTCATTGCTGTTGGTTGCCCTGTAGAAGTGGAAGGCAAGTCCCTTTTGCTGAAGACACCATGGGCTCCAGATGCATGGCCAGAGACCCCTGAACTGGAACTGACTTGAATGACTCCTCCCTGAAGACTATTGTTCATGGTACCAGAAGGCACCACACAAGCTAGAGTCTTCAGAGAGAGGGGAGCTTCAAATGAGAAAATGTCTCCAGAAGACTGGGCTGTAGGACATTTTCTTTATTAGTGATCAAATGGGTGAGGGCCCAGTCCATGGTGGGGCCATCCCTGGGCTGGTGGTCCTGGGTTCTATAAGAAAGCAGACTGAGCAAGCCATGATGAGCACCCCTCCGTGGCCTCCGCATCAACTCCTGCCTCCAGCTTCCTGTCCTGTGTGAGCTCCTGTCCTGACTGCTTTTGGTGATGAGCTGTTACATGTAAGTGTGAGTGAAATAAACCCTTTCCTCCCCAAGTTGTTTTTGGTCATGGTGTTTCGTCACTGCCACAGCAACCCTAACGAAGACAGTAGCCAACACCTCTCTAATTGGACTAAAGACCTGCTCGGCAAGAGGGAAATCATGCCTTGTACTGGAAACCAAGCCAACCACGCAGGGGTAGTAAAGTCATGGATCTTAGAGGACCTACAACCGCCACTCTACTGAACCAACAGTCCCTAACTACACTCTAAACATTTGTCCTTATGCCCACAGGTAAGCATAGTTCTCACCACTCATCATCAAGGAAACTTTTCTTTGCAACAGAGAGAGACCATTGCAGAACCTCACAACTAGTCAAAATGCAGAACTGCAGAGCCCAGTCGTAACAGACACAGCTACAAAACTATCCTGCACCTGACACCCAGGGAACACTGGAAGAGGGGGCAGAAAGATTGCAAGTGCCAGAGGATCTGTGTTTGCTGTGAGATTGTGTCTCCTAGTGATGTCAGGTGCTACACCCACAGAGTCTCACCAACACGACTGCCAAACATGATCTGAACAAGGGCAGCAACAATACACAAGCCAAGGTGGATGGGGAACGGCCCATGAGACCTCAGCCCTGCAGAAAAGACACCCGGGAACACTGCTCAGGGGAGAAGTAGTCTTCCCCAGGCAAGAGCACACCAACTGGTTATTCAATAGCAAATGATCAGACCTGAAAACATACACACAAGTAACATCATCCAGACTGAACAGGTTGTATTTAGGAATATATATGTATACATACATATATACATACATACATACATACATATATACAACAATTAGTAAAAAAGGAGGCCATGAATTTGGAAGAGACCAAGGAGGGGTGTATGGGGGAGTTTGGAAGGAGGGAAGGCAAAGGAGATATGATGTACTTGTATTATGATGTCAAAAAAAAATTTTTTTTAAAAATCCAAAAAACTAATCTATTTAAAAATAGAAGAAAAAATTTATCTATATCTAAATCTAAATGAAGAGGCTCTCAGCCTGGTTGAGTGAGGATCTTTGTGTCTACCAAATCAGATTGGCTGAGGGAGAGGCCTAGAAATGCAGATTTTAAAGAATTTGCCTGTTTTTCTCATGACCTTTCTTCACTGGTACAAATGGGAACACATTTCATACAAAGAACATTTCAGTTTTAGGGAGAGGAGGGCAACAACCCTTGGAGGAATAGATCAACCTACAATGCAAACAAACCCCAATACAGAGTAAGTTTCACTCCCACATCTTTGACTAGACTGCAGAAGACACTGTCAGTGTCGGCAAGAGTCAGTCAGGGGCATTCCACTGCATCAGACCATGGGGGAGGGAAGGGTGTGCAGGGTGCTGAATGTTAAGTTCCTGGACTCTGCCCTACACCTTCTGAAAGAAAACCTCTGGGGGTGAAGCTGACAAAGCATACATGTGCATGTCTATTTCTACACACACACACACACACACACACACACACACACACACACACACACACCTTGCTTTTTCTTTTCTGGAGACTGATACCTAGGCCTCGTACTTGCTGAGCAAGTACTTCGCTGCACAGTACCCCTCAAGCTCCCTCAAATATATATGCATAATATATACGCAGACACGTATGTGTGTGTGTGTATAGTGTATGTGATGTGTGTAGTCCACATGTAGGTGCATGCCCCTGTGTAGACACACAGAGGCCAGAGGAGGACTTTGGGTGCCCTGCTCTATCGTCCTCTGCTTCCTTCCCAAGCCAGGCTGGCAGTCGGAAAGTCTTGGGCACAGGTGGCTGTTTTGCATATGGATGTTTGTCGGCCTTGTGCAGCGAGCGTGTCTACCCACTGAGCCTCCTCCCTTACCTACCGAGGCATCTCTCCTTCCCCAGGCGTGTGTATTTTCAGGAAGCTCCCTAGCAGGCTGCGGAGCACACCGATGTCTGAGCCTCCCAGTCGCGTGGTGTAATTGCAGGTCTGTCACTAGCCAGACACACGGTCTTGGGAAGTACAAACCACAGTGTTTCTCAGTCCCTTCGTGTAAGGAGTAAAGGCGATCTTCTCCAACACAGTTCCCGGCCCTCCCCACCCCGCCCGACATAGTTCTAACTGCGGTAGAACTCCACCTTTTTCGCAGCGCTGTAAATCTCTTCCCGCTTGCTGCAGTCCACCACGAAGGGATGGGCCTGGGCACCCAGTTCCTTGCACTTTGCAGCTGTCTCCTCGATGCCGTTCTAGAAGAAGCCGGAAGAGAGGAAGAGGACAGCGTGAACGATGGGAGCACATCACTCAAAAGCTGAGGGTCTGCCGGGCGGTGGTGGCGCACGCCTTTAATCCCAGCACTCGGGAGGCAGAGGCAGGCGGATCTCTGTGAGTTCGAGGCCAGCCTGGGCTACAGAGCGAGTTCCAGGAAAGGCGCAAATCTACACAGAGAAACCCTGTCTCCAAAAAAAAAAAAAAAAAAAAGCCGAGGGTCAAGTAAGATGACGTCATACTAAAATACAAGGTGGGTTACTTAAATAACTAACCTCGTAAACTCACTGGTCTTCAGTGATTTGGGCACAACCTCTGTGACCACAGCTGGTCACTGAAACTCCAGTCTTACCTGAGAGCTCACAACCGTCGGTGTCCTGACCGCTGGCCTCCTTCAATCCCTCCTGCCATGCCTCCTCTCCAGTCTGCTTGACCCCACGTTATTCCCAAACTCGCCACTGCCTCCAGGGGTCAAAACCAAAGTACACACAATAAAAAGCTCCCCAGACACCATGAACTGGGGCTCCTGGCCTTAGGTCTCCAAAAATGTCACGAGTCACATTCCTCTTTTTAATTTTTTAGTAGCATATTACAAAAATAAAATTTAAACTAGCAGATTTTTTTTTTTTTTGGTTAGTGGAAGAATTTGTTTCTCTGATGCCTTTAATTAGTGTTTTTCCCAAAATATTTGTACTAAAATATACCATAGCCAAATATCAAAACAGGACAGTATTTGGACAAGATCAGTAAAAGCATCAGATCAGTTACATCATAGGGATACGAACAGTAAAGGAAATTAGAAACATCATTTTCCAATCAACTGCACCCCACACTTCAGCCAACATACAAAGACAAGCTCCTCTCTGTTGTGTCTGTGCACACATGCATTGTACGAATGTGTATTCATTTGTGTGTGTGGTATATGCATGTGTACATATTCACATGTGCACACTTGTGTGAGCGACGTACATGCACATAGAAGCCAGAGGTCAACAATTTCTTTTAATCATTTTCCGTCTTAGTTTTTTGAAACAGGGTTTCTCACTGAGCCTGGCGTTCACCAAGTCCGATAGGCTGGCTTGCCAGCAGGTCCCCAGATCCTCCAGACTCCCCACTCAGGGACAGTCCTTATAGGCCCCGGCCCCTGCACTTAGATTTTTAAATGGGCACTGGGGTTCTAAACTTGGGTTCTCATGCACTTTATCAGCCAAGTTGTCTCCCCAGGGTTTCTCTCTCAAAGTCTTGCACTTATCTGTGCATTTGTTACCACAGATTCCATGTTTTGGTTGTATTGTTACAATTAACCTAAGTATGTTAGAAGGCATGGAGAGGCTGAACTAAAACATTGTGTGCAGCCCACAAGTCAGAGTAAAAAGTTAAAGCAGATAAAACAGCTGGCAAAGCATGGGCACAGCTGTTGCTCACCATTGCTAAACAACCAACAGCTGTTTGAAGTTCCTCCAACTGTGTGCATTTGACTCACAGACATTGTTCACTCCACCCTTTTCTTTAATCCAGTTCGCCCACCAAACTATGACCATCTAAACAGCACCAATATAATAGTCTACATTTCTCTTTTCACACCAAATGTTTGTAATCAAGTGGGTTATCCACCCAGAGCACTTCTCGATTCCAACCAGGAATATTTTAAAAGCTGAACAGCTATGAGGGATGAGTGCTTTCTATCTCCATTACCAGCTCAGACCTTGATCCAGATCCTACACTCTTCTTCTGTTCACTCTGTTCCAGGCTTCACATTTGCTGAGCCCTGTCAAGGCAGCTGTCTCCATGTGTTTGTGTGTGTCGGTGCTGGGGACTGAGCCAGGGCCTTGTGCATGCTAGGAAAGTACTGTCAGAACCAAGCGACAACCTCGGTCTCTCATGTCTCCATCTACTGAGGCCTTCCTTCCATCGCCACCTATATGTGATTGGCAATCTGTCTTCCCCACAAGCTCCTTTCACATTTATTGTTTTCTTTCTATTTAATGCCACCCAATTGTATATTTTATTGTACAGTTTGTCTATAGTTCTATATTAGACCACTGTCTGGTAGTCAGAGTATGTCAATAAACACTCATTGGATAAACACACTTCTGAGAAAATGCTGTGCTCACCAGTGCTAGAGATTGGAAGTCATCAGCCCAAGTCACTCTTTGTTAAAAAAATAAAATGTTGCACTAGTTTGCTTACCATCTGCTAGACATGTGGCTGAATTATCTCACACACTGGCTTCTCGTCTCCCTGGCCTTCTAAGCCTGATACTGCTATTTCATAGATTTGTGCAGAAAACTGAAGGTCTGGGAAGTCAAGTCTCTCAACAAAGCAGCAAAGAGCCCACTCTGTGTCTGACCATATGGCCATGCGGGCCTCAGCTGGCTGGTCTGTGCTGGCCCAGTTTGTAGCTTTCTTTCACTGTGTAAATACCTAATGTCTGTTTTCTCCACCGCACTGAGGGACCCTGCTAGGGGATGTCTTTCTGTATGCTGTGAATATGTGTTGTTCCTTTCTCATTAGCACTGAGAAAAATCAAAGTTAATAGAGCATTATGTAATCTATTTCTGGGGTTTTTTGTTACCCCTTTCTGTTTATTTAGCATATCCTTTAGAGTTCTGTTTGATCTTTCTATGACTGCTTGGCCTGCAGGATTATGTGGTATACCTGTAATATGCTTTATATTGTAATAAGCAAAAAACTGTTTCATTTTACCAGAGACATATGCTGGAGCATTGTCAGTTTTAATTTGTTCAGGTATACCCATGATGGCCATAACTTCTAGCAAATGCGTGATTACAGAATCAGCCTTTTTGGAACTCAGAGCAGTTGCCCACTGAAATCCTGAATAGGTATCAATGATTTGGTATACATATTTCAGTTTTCCAAATTCTGCAAAATGAAACACATCCATCAGCCAGATTTCATTCTTCTGAGTGCTCTTTGAGTTACATCCTGCTGGTATTGGAGTTTGATTGTAAAAAGAACAAATAGGACATTTCCTTGTAATTTCCTTGGCTTGTCGCCAGGTTATGGAAAAATCCTTTTTAAACCCTTACTATTGACACGATGTTTTTAATGAAGTTCTGAGGCCTTCAGCACATTTCCTAATAATAGTTTACCAATCTTGCCATTACCTCAGACCCATATGAGATTGGATGTGAATTATATATAAAGGATGACTTCTTTTCCTGATTGTATCTTATAACTGAATAAATAGTGAAGTTAATTCTGACTCATCAGGAATAAATTCTGCAGTCTCAATATGTAATACCACTCTTTCAGCATACTGAGAGTCAGTAACTATGTTGATAGGTTCTGAAAAATCCATTAATACCATCAGAATAGCATATAATTCTGATTTTTGAACCAAATTATAAGGACTTTGAACCACTTTACTTAAATTTTCTGATTTGTAGCCTGCCTTTCCTTGTTTGTTTGCATCTGTATAAAATATACAAGCTCCAGATATGGGTGTTTACCATATAATGTGAGGCAGAATCCAATCAGCTCTCTTTATAAGTTGAATTCTATTGCTTTTGGGATATTTGCTGTTAATCTCTCCCAAAAAATTACTGCAAGCTCTTTGCCAAGGTTCACTTTCTGTCTATAATTTTTCAATGTCATCCTTAGTTAAAGGTACTACAATTTCTGCTAGGTCTATTCCTGCTAATTGACGAAGTCTCAATTTTCATTTTAAAATCTACTCAGAGATCTTTTCCACATATGTTTTTAATTTTTTACTCTGTTTATTTAGTAGAAATATCCATTCCAATATAATATCTTCCCTCTGCATTAAAATTCCTGTAGGAGAATGCCTAGAGCGTAAAATAACCAAAATGCAATCCAGCTTTGGATCCATACCATCCACATGTCCTTCATGCACTTTTTTTTTCTACCAAGGCCAATTCTCTCTCAGCTTCTGCTTATAATTCTCTTGGACTATTTAAGTTCTTGTCACCTTCTAAGGTTTTGAACAAATTACTCAGTTCATCATTTTTTACCCCAACAACAGTCCATAGATGGGAAATGTGCCCGAATAATCTTTGAAAGTCATTAAGAGTCCACAATTGGCCGGGTGGTAGTGGTGCACACCTTTAATCCCAGCACTCGGGAGGCATAGCCAGGCAGATCTCTTTGAGTTCAAGGCCAGCCTGATCTACAGAGCAAGATCCAGGACAGACACCAAAAACTATACAGAGAAACCCTGTCAAGGGAAAAAAAAAAAGAGAGTCCATAATTGATCTCTCCTAATTTGTACCTTTTGGGGTCTAATTTTTTGTAGACCTATTTTATATCCTAAATAATTAATAGAATCTCCTCTTTGTATCTTTTCAGGAGTAATTTATAATCCCCAATAAGGCAAAATTTTCTTTACTTCTTCAAACATTCTTCCTAAAGTATCTGCATTTGAATCGGCTAGTAAAATATCCTCCATGTAATGATAAATTATAGATTTAGGGAATTGTTTACATATTACTTCCAATGGCTGTCATACAAAATATTGGCACAGGGTCGGGCTATTTAATATTCCCTGTGGGAGAACCCTCCATTGATATCTCTTAATCGGCTGAGAATTATTATTAGTAGGCATTGTGAAGATAAATCTTTATCTTTTTCTTGTAAGGATATTGAAAAGAAACAGTCTTTTAAATTGATAACTATAAGAGGCCATCCTTTTGGTAACAGAGTAGACAAAGGAATTCCAGATTGTAGAGAGCCCATTGGCGGAATTACCTTGTTAATTGTTCTTAGTTCTGCTACCATTCTCCATTTACCAGATTGCTTTTTAATAACAAACACAGGAGAATTCCAAGGGCTGGTTGATTCTTCACTATGCTGAGCATTTAACTGCTCTGGTACCAGCTCTTCTAAAGCCTGCAGTTTCTCTGTTGTTAAAGGCCATTGCTGAACCCATACTCCTTTATCATGTGGTCTTAACATCTAGGCCGTAGATACCCAGGGAGAATTTGTTACCTGCTGTCTCAGCCACTCCTGGGTGAGCTCTTATTTGACCTCATGAACCTTGGCTTCTTGTTTACATAACTGGATGTACATAGTGTGATGAGTGGCGGGTTAGGCCACCGGGCGCCTTCAAATACCCCAAATTAAAGCTTCGCTGCCACGTCCTGCCAACTTCCCTCACACACCTCTGCCTGCAGTCCAGGGGAACCACACCGAAATTCTTTCTCTTTTTATTATTTTTTTCTGCAAAGCGACTTAAGTCAGTAACTATGGCCGCGTAATGGTGATTTCTATAGGGTATCATTTTTTGATTAATCTCAATAACTGCAAAAGAGACTTAACAGCTACACAGATCTGACTCTTTTAGAATACAACCTAAAACTGCTGTAATTTTTAAAAAAAGCTTATGAGGGATGAGGAGATTACAGGCGATTTATAGTGTTAATGTAGCGATGGAAGGTAACCAAGATTCTCATCGCCCATTCATGGTGTGGCCTTACAGATACCAATTCAGGCCTCTCCCGAAATCTGAGAAATATCAGTAAGAACTAAAAGCTCTACGTTCTTTACCGAGAGCTGTAAAGGGTGGTTGTTTGCGAAGTGTAGACCCGTCCCCAGAGTGAAACTCCACAAAGGAAGGGCACCAAGAGAGCACTGTTACCTTATTGATATCCCAGAGAACCAATTTGGTTTTAAGTTTGGCAAATTCGTAGGCAGTCAGTCTTCCAATTCCATGACCAGCTCCAGTGATCAGGACAATCTCTCCGGAGACTGATTTCTTCTTCTTGGGAACAAAAAGCTTGATGAAAGACTCTATGCAGAAGACGATGAGCAAGGGCAGCATCAGAATAAAGTCAAGCAGATACTTCATCCTTCAGGCTGCGCGGTGTTCTCGTTCCTCGCCTTAAACTGCTTCTGGAGGTTGTCTGGTCACGCACAGAGTAAAAGCCAGAGCAAGGCAGAGTCCCTTTATCAAAGAGAAACAAACAACTCTGAAACCGTTCCTTCCGCGGGGCCGGGCTTCAGGACGGTTTTTGCCATTGGCTCCGGCTGCGGTCAGAGCAACTGCTCGCTGGCTGGGATATCTGGGAGGGACGAAGTCCAGGCGCAAGCCCTAGGGCGGTGCGACCCTGACAGCGTTCACCTACTTCCTCGTAGGAGGGGTAGGTACCGCTCGCTCTCCTCCATCGGAAAAATCCCCTCCCTGTCTGCAGCCGACCTTGGAGAAGTAGTTACCCCGTGCCGTGAAGGATGAGCGGCCAGTGCCTGCAGCTCGCAGATTACTGCGGACAAACGCCCGAATCTGCATAAGGGTTGCAAAACATGTGGAACCACATCTCAAAGGACCAGGAAGCAAGGAAGGGGGACTCTCAGGAGGAAGGAGGAGGAGTAGCAAGAGGGGGGATGGGAGGAGGGCTATGGGGGAGGGGCGGATAAGAACAAATAATGAGATGTATGCGTCACAAAATCCATTTCTCTGTACGCTAACCAAAAATTAATAACAAAGCAAACGAAACATCAAAACCCTCCAAACAAAACGAAGCACAAAGGGAGAAGCCAGTTGCCGTGCTCCTGATTTAGAAATGACCCTACATCGCATTTTAATTTGAATTAAGCACAATTTCTGGAGGGCAGAGGAGACTGTATCCTCCCAATGCATCATCAAGTTTTAGGAAAGGCTTGCAGTAAACTCATTTCCGTAGGGAAGAACAGTGTAGGCGGGCAACCAACTCCCATTTGGACTCAGAGCATCTGGAAACAAGAAAGAAAGTGAATATTCGAGGAGGGTGATCCTTCTTGAAATTTATTACTACTTTTTCTATGTGTATGGGTGGTTTGCCTGCATGCATGCACATCACTTTTGCTCATGGTGCAGGTGGAGGCCAGATGAGGGTGCTGGGTCCCCTAAAACTGGAATTACTGAGAGCTGTGAGCCTGTATGTAGGCACTGGGGAATTGAACCCTGGTCCTCTGGAAGAACAGCCAGAGCTCTTAATCAGGGAGCCACACCCATCTCTTCAGCATTCCCCTCCCCTACAACACTTTTTGAGACAGCTTGGGAACCCCACCCCCACCCCCAACCCCCTGCCCCTTTTATTTCCCCCAAGTTGTTTTGGGTCAATGTTTCATCACAGCAGCAGAAGCGAACTGTCTGTTGAGTGACTGACTCCCTCGCTCTTCATAAAGGTTCCCCACAGCTAGTTCTTGGTGTATGAACTATAAACATCAGCAGCTGACTTTTCTCAGGGACAGTTGAGGATGTGGCTTGCTTAACTTGCAAAATACTCTCTCCTATCATCCTCATATAATTATCTCTCCCTTTGCTACTTCTGTTAGCTTTTGTTTGCAACTTTAGGGAACAAACTTCTTTTTCTGTCCTGTTCCAGCGACTACAGGCTACCGTTGTTGTGGAGAAAGAAGCCCTGTTCTTCCCCTGGAGTCCTTTTTTAACTCCCAGTTTCTGTCTTCTTGACTTTCCCATCGTCAGGACTGATCATATTTACTTTCTGTCTTGTAGAGATTACATTTGTTCCCTTTTCCTGATGATTCCGAAAACTGACAAGTAGTGTTTACATTCCTGTAAATCAAAGGAGGCTTCCCTCAGTGTGGGCCTACTTCGTGGTTGACTGCCTGGGACTATGGAGACCCTGATGGCCTCTTTTAGATCTGAGGCAGTCTGGTGGGAGGGTAGATGAGAATTTGGGCTTGAACAGGACACAGTAGCACTTACATGTGGTCCCAGCATCTGGAAGTGGAGGCAGGAGGATCCAAAGTTCCGTGCCAGCCTGAGCTGTATATAAAAGATAGGGTTAGGCATGGTGGTGCACATCTTTGTGTCCAGCATTTGGGAGGCAGAGGACGGGGGATCTCTGCGAGGTCAGGGCCAGCCTGGTCTACTGAGTGAGTTCTAGAACAGCCAGACCTATGTAGAGAGACCCGGTCTCAAAACAAACAAAAAACAAAAACATCCAAATAAGTAATAAAATAAAATAAAGGATACTGGTTTTGTCACTTTCTAGTTGGATGAATTTGAATTTAAAAAATTATGTGTGTCTCTCTCTTTTTTTAACCTTTAAAATAGGGATATTAATAGCTACTACCTTTTAGGATTGTTAGGAAGATTAAAGGGTATATAAAATCTTTAGAGTAATGACTGATACATTTTAAATGCTTTATTAATGTGAAAAAAGGAATCCCTTGGGGGAAAATGGGGAAAGATTAGAAACATTCTTGTTTAAAATACTATTGTGTCTGCTGTCTTTATCACAGGGACAGCCATTGAATGTGGCTGTCTTAAGAGGTTTGATTATGTTAGGACATGAAGATTTGGCTCTTTAGTCTCACTTCCAGTCATACAAAACTCACCTTTAGCCCTAAGACTTTGTTGCAGGGAGGTTGAAGATCAAACCAAGGGCCTTACACATGCTTGGCAAGGGCTGCTACTGAGCCCAGATGTCAATCTCAGGCTCTCTTGAAGAGGTGATAAATGCTAAAATACCAAGGAAGATAGTCCCGACTTCCACTTCCTCCTATAAAGCCAGGGCTGACTGGACTAATGACAGCTTTTGATGAAAAACAGGTGTAAGTGATTCACCCCTTGCTCCGGCACACTCAGGCACATTCACCGAGCTTTAGGTCAAAAGGCTTTCTGGTAGCTTCAGAGAACTGCCCTGCCTAAAGCAAAGAGAAAAGTGACCTCTGGATGCAGGGCAAAGGGCAGAGAGGGAGAGGGGGAGTGCAGGGGAGGATCCCTTATCACATCTCAGGTCTAGGAATGGCTTTAGAAGCCACACTTAGGAAAAACCGAAGATGCATCACTGACCTTTGCTTTCCTTGGGACTTCCCTGGCTGTTAGCTGTGATTTTTAGGGACTCAAATGCAAATGTTCCCATTTCCTCTGGAATTGAACAAAAGACTCTGCTTCTCCAAAATGTAGGATTTTTTTTTTCAGACCTCTGTTTCCCATCAGGTTCTGAATTTCCAGGCTTTAGAAGGTGGAGCTGAGCTCTGTATCACATAACTCACTGCATATTATGATGCAAACACTTCTACCAGAAAGATCAACGTCACACATGATTTTATTGACTTATCAAGTTCAGAATTCACTTACTGAAAAATATAATTTTATGCGATTTCCTTGTTTACATTTAATTTTTTTTTCTGAAACACCAAAATGAAAAATGTGGCCATGGAATATGAAAGGAACCCTCCCTGAACCAAAAGAATCAAAGAAAACATCTTTCCTGTAGGGCCGAAACCTGGGAGGACTCTTCTTCTTCCTTATTCTGAAAACAAACAAATATGTTAGGTATCTTTATTCTTCTTACGCACCCCCAAAGAGGACAATTGTTTCTATCTAACCCAGTTCATTAAGGGCTAATATAAATTCTTCATGTACAGACAACATCTTGAGGAGGACAAAGGAGAGAGAAAGATCTCTCTTTAGGAGCCCATGGTCTAAGGGCCAGGAAGCTCGTCCTGGAGAAAAGGAGGCTAGAATATTTAAATAGAAATTAAAGCAACTAGAAAAAAGAGGGGGGGGGGAGATGGGTGGAGAGTGGAGGTGGGAAGAGAGGGAAGGGGAGAGAGACGGAGAGAGGACTATGCTAGTCCAGGTGAGCAGAGGCTTTGTTGTAAAATAGTCTTATGTTGTTGAAGACCATTACACACTTTAATCTACTCAATATGATTACAATGGCTTGTTTCAGGGCTGGAGAGGTGGATCCGTGTGGAGAGCACTAGTTCTTGCAGATGACAAGGATGTGATTCCTAGTACCCACCCACAGGGTAGCTCACAGCCATCTGTAACTCCAGTTCCCGGAGATCTGACATCTTCTGGCCTCTGCAGACACTGCACACACATGGTACATAGGTAAGCATGCCAACAACACACCCACACAGACTTTTTAAAAAAATCAATTGTTTTAGCTACAACAAAGATAACCAAAGGAGCTCCAGCCAACAGGGAATGAAAGTGTACTAAAATTCCAATGTAGCATTTTAAAAATTGTACACCAACATCTATTATGTTAGAGAATCAGTTTTACTGCCAAATCAATTTAGAAGATTATACTAGTGTTTTAAAAATCAAATATGTTTATAGGAGACTTACAGCAAACATCCCAGGTACTGATCGGTAAGCTCTGCTGCAACTTTTCTTTTTGTTTTTTGATGGGGTGTGAGGTATAAGAGTGTTTCTGTGTATACCCATTATGGCGTTCACTTTGGAAACCAGAGTGCTGTTAAGAATAAATTCTGGGGCTCGATGCTGGAGGCTCAATCTTCGCTCAATTTCCTATTACTTGTGACCCAAGGCAAGCTTTATTACTATTTGGTTTTTGCTTCCTCATAAATGAAAGGAAGATATAGTATTAGCTTTATTGTGATGAATAAATGAGATATTTACAAAATGCTCAGAGTAGGGCTTGTTACATGACAAGCTGTGTTCATGCAGCCTCGAGCAAAGAATCCTGGGAATCATTCTTCTAGGTGGGTCTGAGTAAACCCCAGCACTTCAGAATTTGAGAAGGGCCACTTGGTTGTTCAGCACTCATGATATAGCCCTGGCTGTTCAATCCCCCCTCAAGGAGGGTACAAGGAACAGGTATTGAACAAATGAGGGAAAATGTTTCCGAGGGAAGTTAAATCAAACCAATTCTCAAAGAAACAGTTCTGGGAGAGTAAATGACTTGCCTAAGAAGACCCTGCCTCTCAGGAGCAGGGTTAGGATTTCGTGCGCAGCATTTTCAAAAGCAGCCTCGTGAAGTAACAGTTCATATACCATAGCATTGACTTGTAAAGTCTATAGCTCAGCGGATTTCAGAACGCCTTTGGAGTTGTACGGTCATTACAAATCAGATTAAATTCTCATCTTCCCACAAAGAAACCTTGGGCTCATTAACAGTCAGGCCCCAGTCTCTCCTGTCCCCTCCCCAGGGTAACATGACTGTCACTGGTCATTCTCTCTCACTATAGATTTGCTCACTCTGAACATTTCATGCGATGCAATCACACTGTCAAGATAAAAACTACTCATAAGGAAATATGAAAAGAATTTATTTTGACCTGGGAGCACAGAATCAAGTTATGTTGGTACTATGTTCCAACTTAGAAGAACTGAATAAGTGTTGGCAATAGAACAGAACAGGTCATAAGTCAATACATTTACCAGTTATGTTGGTGGGCATCAGGCCAGGTGAGCTATGAAAGGGCAAACAATTGTCCTC